CCGTACGTGGTGACCTAGAGAGGGGGTCGGGGGGGCCCGACCCCTAGTCACGGGAGAGGGCGGCCGCCGCCCGACCTCGGGCCCGATCCCCCCTCGGGGGGGAGTCACGTGGCGCCTAGAACGGCCTTCTCCCTTTAGTCTCGGCCAGGGAGTGGCCGCCGCCCTACCTCGAGCCCAACCCCCCTCGGGGGAGGGCCACGTGGCATTGGAGGGCAGCCTCCTCCATCCAGTCTCTGCGAAGGAGTGGCCGTCGTCCTACCTCGGGCCTGACTCCCCTCGGGGGAGGGCCACGTGGCATCGGGGGGCAGCCTCCTCCGACTAGTCTTTGGGGAGGAGGTGGCCCCACCACACCTTGGGCCTTATCCCCTCGGGGAAGGGCCACGTGGTATCGGGGGGGGGGGGGTAGCCTCCTCCCTCTAAACTTGTACCCCCGGGTCCATATCATCGACAGTAGCCCCCGGCGTTAGTCCTGACCAAAACCTTCCCCAGGTGGTCAAGGTTGACGGCACTTTCCTAGTTTGATGATTTGTGGGCCCGATCTCTTATTCTTTCTTTGCTGACACTAGGACCCATGCGCCTTTTTCGCCTAGCCTGAGGGCGACTCGCTAGCCCGTACTTTAGGCTGTAAACTTATTTTCTGTATATATTTAGCAAACGTTGTTATATTCTCTCGGGCCCGTGACCTTACGCCGCGTACCTCGCTTGCCCCTGCCATTTGTTAACCTCTGTTCATGTTCTACTTCATCTATTCAAACGATTATTTTCGCGAGTATGAGGACTGAACTTTTCATAGCCAGCAATCTTCACCCGTGATCAAGCTAAGCTGGGCGCTGTAGCCAGCCGGCGGGGCCAAAGCCAGCCGCTACGGAAGAGCTAGCACAGAGGGCCCCAGGCGTCGACAGTACTCAGAGCTCGACGCAGGGCTAGGATAGAGCTAGGAATCGTAGCCCCCGCACTTTAAGCAAAGAGTTGTTTGAATGGATGAAGCGAATACAAACTTTTTGTTACCAAGGGAGGCAAACCGGCGCGCGACACATAGGTACCGCGAGACCGCGAGGAAGAGATGGGCGAGAGATAAATATAATCAATAATAATTTTATGCAAACGATTATCTTCGCGCGAGTGTGAGGACTGAACTTTCTATAGCCAGCAATCTTCGCCTACGATCAAGCGAAGCTGAGCGTCATAACCAGCCGACGGGGCCAAAGCCAGCCGCTACGGAAGAGATAGCACAGGGGGCCTCGGGCGTCGACGGTACCCAGAGCTCGACGCAGGGCTAGGATAGAGCTAGGAATCGTAGCCCCCACACTTATAGCAAAGAATTGCTTGTATGAATAAAGCAAACACAAACCTGTAGCTCGAAGAGGGCCCCCCACCATGGGTTCCGAACCATCTTGGGAAGCCTGTGACCACTTAGCAAACGAGGTCAGATTTCCACGAGCCTGTGTCCCCACGCTACATATTCTGTTTGCTCTTTCCTTTCGGTGGCCTCCTTCCAATCTCTTTTCCTTCTACATGGACGATTACTTTCACACGAGTGTGAGAGCCGAAAACTCTAGAGCCAACAATCCCCGTCCACAGTTGAGCCAGGCCGGGTACCGTAGCCAGCCGGCGGGACCAAAGCCAGCCGCTACGGAAGAGCCAACACAGGGGGTCCCGGGCATCGACGGCACCCGAGGCTCAACTTAAGGCTAGGATAAGGCTAGAAAACTTAGCCCCCACACTTAGCGAAGAATCGTTCATGTAGATGGGAGAGAGGTTGGGCTCTTACCACCGAGGGAGCAAATAAATGCGCAACACGCGGGCGTCGCAGGGCCATGAGAATAGAATGGGGGAAATAAATATAAGATTTCAAGCTAATGAATTGAAAAATTGAAAATACTTGAAGCTTGAAAGGACGATCAGTTGAGCCTGGCCGGGCACCGTAGCTAGCCGGCGGGACCAAAGCCAGCCGCTACAGAAGAGCCAGCACAGGGGGTCCCGGGCTTCGACGGCACCCGGAGCTCAAAATTGCAAGAGTCCTCCCAGGAGTGAATCGAGGCGGCAGCAGGTTCATGGGCCAACCCCACGCTTGGCCCCTGAGGGCCATGGGGAAGACGTTCGCCATGACCCGGTCGTCACCCCCCGCGGCCTCTATGATCGCCGTGCAGATCTGGAGGGACTCGGAGGGGTCGGCGCCATCGTCGTACTTCTCGGTGAGGCAGGGCTGGAGCTTTGGGGGCCCTCGGACATTTCGAAGACTCGCCACAAAGACTTGGTAGCCAAGCTTACCTGGTGGAGATGCGGGGAGCCTTGCCCCCTGCCTGGGGTGGCGCGACACTCCTGAGGATGCTGCGCCTTCCCCTGTAGCGGCGGCACGACACTCACCACGCCGACGCTCGAAAGAACCTAAAAAATCACGAATGCGCCCCCTACCAGGCGCGCCAGATGTCGGAGAATGAATTCCTCCACCAGGGAACCGTGAGGCCCCCCTTTGTGAGTTCGGCCGGGGTCAGCGGGTGAGATTCGAGGGCTTGGTGAGCGGAGCTGTGTGATCTTGAGGGGGTTAGCCCCCCCCCCAGACGATGAGACAAAAGAGGTTTATACAGGTTCGGACCGCTGAGAAGCGTAATACCCTACTCATGTGCATGATTGATTGAATGTAGAACACAAGTGCTTGGGGTTGTGAGACCCAAGCACCAGTTCGCTCCGAAGTCCCCCCTCCACCACTAGGCCTGGACCTCCTTTTATACCTCAAGGGGTTACCACATGGGCCCAACAACCTAACCTAGTTGCGGTGGAGAAGTATTATAATCTTTGCATCAAATGCATGTCTTGTCTCTTGACTTGGGAAGCCAAGCACACATCGTCTTGATGATGGGGCCTGTCAAATCTTGCCGCCTGACACGGGGGGTGCCCCTGTCAGTCACCATTTAATGGGTGAAGACTTCTAGGCTCCTATTACACCGGGAAACGGGAGCCTTGCTTTGACCAGAGCGGGAGGACCGACTCCGGCTGGGATAAGAGGATGAGAACCTCTCACCATTACTATTTGATGGGACATGTCAGGCTGCACGCCGCCTGACACACGAGCAGCGCACAGGCGCACTAGCCAGTCCCATCGGTCATTCGACCGGTCACAGACCGGTTGAGTGCACTGCACGCCGCATTAAATGCGGCGTGGCGCGACCGCTCGGGACGCCATAAATGTGGGTAGGTGGGCACCTGGAGGCGGACACCTAACCCACCGTACGTGGTGACCTAGAGAGGGGGTCGGGGGAGCCCGACCCCTAGTCACGGGAGGGGGCGGCCGCCACCCGACCTCGGGCCCGATCCCCTCTCGTGGGGAGCCACGTGGCGCCTGGGGCGGCCTTTTCCCTCTAGTCTCGGCCAGGGAGTGGCCGCCGCCCTACCTCGGGCCCGACCCCCCTCGGGGGAGGGCCACGTGGCATTGGAGGGCAGCCTCCTCCATCCAGTCTCTGGGAATGAGTGGCCGCCGTCCTACCTCGGACCTGACTCCCCTCGGGGGAGGGCCACGTGGCATCGGGGGGCAGCCTCCTCCGACTAGTTTTTGGGGAAGGAGTGGCCGCCACCCCACCTCGGGCCTGACTCCCCTCGGAGGAGGGCCACGTGGTATCGGGGGGCAGCCTCCTTCCTCTAAACCTGATACCCCGGGCCCATATCACCGACACACGCAATTTCTCTCTCCCCTTCAACCGGAAATTATTATTTTAGTGTGGTATCGGGGTATCCGCTGGCAAATAACCTTGTTTTGAGAGTGTTTTTCTCCAAAGTGACTTCGGGTGGTGTCCTCAAGTTAAAACCACGAAGTCGCGATTCTCTGTAGTAAAATTTATCTATATGTAGTGGAGTGCAGTACAGTACAACAGACTTCAATGGCAAAATTTGCCTACACGAAGTCGCATTGAATCAATGCGCCCGTGCGTACATGTGGGCTGTGGCTTCAATGCGCCAACTCGGATATTCGCAGCCATGTCTGCATCTGTCGATCCCTTGTCAAGAGCCACGAATCACAACGAAGTTTCGTGTTCCTGATGCTATCAAAGACAATGAATCGTGGTATTAATGGATTGACCGTTTCTTAGACTGAAATGATTGCTTGAGACACGCCATAACGTGGCTCTGATTGTGAATGGCCTAATCTCTAGACTCTGTACTTATTTATGGTATTGGGCCTCGAGGTTCATCAACCACTTGCCTGATGAACGTGTGTTTTACTAGTAGTTCTAATTGTAACCCGTAGATCCTCTTCCTCTAAACGAAAAGCTCCTTAAGAAACTCCCTAACACTTGGGTGCATGTACCGCAAGTCCAGAACTAAACAAAAATGACGGGGGATAGTGCACGATTTGTCACCTTCCTCTAAGCCTGACAAAAAGTTCTGCATACCAGATAAATCAGCTAAACAATTAGATACCCCAAATCTCAAACGCAGTTGATGATGAGGTGAAAACGAGAGAGATTCTCACTGTACATCAGTACATCCTGCCGAGAATCTTGACAGTAAAATGTATGGCTGCGAAGCCCGAAGGAGGTAATAACAAAACTAGTAATCCCAACAAGGCCCTGACGCCTGACTTTTCATTGAGCCGTGGTCTCCGCGGTGAAAGCGACGACTCCTTTTGGTATGGCAACATTCTTACACCCCTATGGCGACATCCTTTGTAGCAAGTCTGCAGGAGTGTGTGGTCTCGCACTCTGGCCTCGGCCTGTACAACGTATCATTTATCTCCCTTTTTTTTAGAGCAAATCGAATCCTTTTTTTCCTGCCCACAGATTCGCACAGCTAAAAGCGAAAGATGATGTATAAATTACTTAGTACGAAACTCTGTCTGTCATTTGGAAATACTACTTTTTTCTTTCTTTCTCTCGCTCTATCTGCAATTCCTGCATTTATCAAACTGCCTAACCTCTTTACGTGCAGAGAAAAAGAAAATGCCCCCCACGTGATCACATCCTGCACTCTATATTGACGGCATTATATCAAACATCCTGTACTTCGTTGTCATCGTGCGACTTCTTCGCGTTGTGAGTTGTGACCCGTGAAGACCGCTATATATACACACGCTACTAGCCCCTGTTGCATTGTATACACATATTCATTGCCTCATTGGTACTTTGGTTAGCTATGGGCTCCCTACCCGCCGCCGACAAGCCGTTGCCGGCGCTCCGGTACCCTCCGGCTCGCCGCGACGACGACATTGTCGACGACTACCATGGAGTTACCGTGCCGGACCCCTACAGATGGTGAGTGTCTTGTCGACGGCTGTTTCCGTTCCTCTGTAATCGATTCTGTCCTGTTTTGAGAGGCACTCTGTTTGTTACGTTATGTTATGCACATCTGCTTTTTCTGAATTTTACCCTTTTTACCCGGCTTGAACCATTTCTCTGTTCGTGCAACATGAAAAAACATAGTTCCTAAATTCATGGAAAGAAGTACTGCTTCAGGATAAGAGTGTTAGAATTCCTGAGGTTCAGTTTTTTTTTAATCTCATTTCTTAATAAACTTCGGCCGGCTTAGGGCCTGGCGAAACAGTTTTTTTTATATAAAAATATTCATTAGATTATTGACATGTATTATCTACTTTATTGTAGGATAAATTAAATATTTTTTATAAACAAGTTGTCTAAATAATACTTCCTCCGTTTCACTATGTAAATCTTTTTTTTTTGCGGGGCACTATATATGTCTAAATTTATTAACGTTAATACGAATGTGAAAAATGTTAGAATGATTTACATTATTAAACGGAGGGAGTACAGTAGAAGAGATTTTCTTTTGAAAAGAATGTAAGTATTTTAGCATATGGTGTGCAGTAAGAATGTAAGACGCATTCCCTTGTATACCGCAGTCAAAACACTTGGTAAATCCCAGAATGATTGCGTTTGGAATACCACTATATAGTGCAGACGAAATGCAAATCGAAGCAGAGTTGAACACTTGAACACGATTCTTCCCGTACGTTCTCAGTCCATCCGATCGAAACAAAGCATGAGTAATTTTGTTCTTATTATTGTTGGACCGTGCGTGGTTGATGATCGCTGATGTATTGTAAAATTGACCGCGAGTGAAGGATGGAGGAGCTGGAGTCGGAGGAGGTGAAGGGGTTCGTGGACGCGCAGGCGGCCGTGGCCGAGGCGGTGCTCTCCACCTGCGACGACCACCGCGTCCGCCTGCGCGGGCAGCTCACCGCGCTCTTCGACCACCCGCGCTACCGCGCCCCGTTCAAGCGCGCCGGCAGCTACTTCTACCTCCACAACCCCGGCCTCCAGCCTCACAGCGCCCTCTACGTCCAGGTCAATCAAAGCCCCCCACGCGAATCTCGAGGCCACCCAGCAGAGTCCGAGAGAGACGCTAGCTTTCTGCAATCTGAACCGTCGCTTTTGTTGTTGTTGTTGTTGCAGCACGGGCTGGGGGGCGGGGAGGAACCTGACGTGTTGCTGGACCCAAACACGTTCAGCGACGACGCCACCGTGTCGCTCGCCATGTTCGGCGTCAGCCACGACGGCGAGCACCTGGCGTACGGCACCAGCGCGAGCGGCAGCGACTGGGTCACCATCCGGGTGATGCGCGTGCGCGACAGGCGGCACCTGCACGACGAGATATGCTGGGTGAGCTACCCTCTGCCCCCGTGCGTGGCGCACGGTCGATCGTTTCAGAGATCCCTAATATGATTGTGAATTCGAGAAATTTGCAGGTGAAATTCTCGGCCATCGCGTGGACTCGCGACGGGAAGGGGTTCTTCTACTCTCGTTTTCCAGCTCCAAAGTAAGTGCCAACATATAGTAGTGGATTTGTTGAAATATGCTACTCCTACAGTCCTACTTGACATAGCGTCGTTTGTTTGGACGAGCAGGAATGATGGGGCGCCATTGGGTGCTGGGATCAAGACTAGTGTTAATCTCAATCATGAAGTCTATTACCATTTTCTTGGAACCGATCAGTCAGAGGACCTGTTGTGCTGGGAGGACCCTGACCATCCCAAGTACATTTACACCCCTGAAGTTTCAGAAGATGGCAAGGTATGCAGCTATGGCCATGAGTCGATCAACTTAGGACGAAGTTTTGTACAACTCTGAATCTTTTCTAAGCATTGACAAACATGAGCTACTCCTGAGCTGATATCTCATCACTTCACTTGTTGCAGTATGTGATTCTGTCAGTCGCAGAAACTTCAGAACCGGTAAACAAGTTGTACTACTGTGACCTCTCGGCTCTCCCTGACGGCCTGGAAGGCATGAAGGGAAACCATGGCAATGCCATGCTTCCTTTTGTTAAGCTTGTGGATGAATTTGAAGCATACTACGCACTCATCGCCAATGACGACACTCAATTCACATTTCTCACTAACAAGAATGCTCCAAAGTACAAGCTGTCGAGGATTGATGTCAACGAGCCACACTCATGGATGGATATTCTCCCTGAAGACGAGAAGGCTGTCCTAGAGTCGGCTTGTGCAGTCCATGGTGATAAGCTTCTGGTAAACTACCTGTCGGATGTCAAGTATGTCTTGCAGATGAGGAGCTTGGTTACCGGGGAGTTGCTCCATGACATACCCATTGACATTGGCAGCGTCAATGGGATCTCTGGCAGACGTGACAATTCAGAGGTGTTCATCGAGTTTGCTAGCTTCCTTACTCCCGGAATCATCTATAGGTGTGATGTCAGCAAGGAGACTCCCGAGATGAACATATACAGAGAAATCTCGGTTGGTGGTTTTGATCGCACAGATTTTGAAGCAAAGCAGGTAATTTTCAATAGCATTACGAGCTCTTAGCACGATACCTGAACTTTGTAGAAGTACAATGCATTTTCAGAGTTGCACAATTCCTGTTTGTAATTCAGCTAGCATTTCTCCCTATTTTTTTCCTCTCCATTTTTTTCAGGTGTTCTACCCTAGCAAGGATGGAACCAAGATCCCAATGTTCATCGTGTCGAAGAAAAGCATCGTTCTTGATGGATCTCACCCGACTCTGCTGTACGGCTACGGTGGCTTCGGCATGAACATGACGCCCCATTTCAGCGTCACCCGCATCGTCCTCATGCGGAATCTCGGGTTCGTGTCGTGCATCGCCAACATCCGAGGCGGCGGGGAGTACGGCGAGGACTGGCACAAGGCCGGGTCGCTCGCGAACAAGCAGAACTGCTTCGACGATTTCATCGCGGCTGGTGAGTTCCTCGTCTCTGCAGGCTACACGAACCCGAGCAGGCTGTGCGTCGAGGGTGCGAGCAACGGGGGCCTTCTTGTAGCTGCCTGCATCAACCAGGTTTTCTCACTGTAACCTCTTCAGTTTTTTCAGTTCTCTGCAGAAGATTGAGCAAGAACTCACTGTGGATTGTGCATTTTTTTTACAGCGTCCGGACCTTTTTGGTTGTGCTCTGGCTCACGTGGGTGTCATGGACATGCTTCGATTCCACAAGTTCACCATAGGTTCTGACTCATCCCTGAAACCCATATACTTGAACTTTCTTTTTCGTTGAAATATTTCATCTCACCAATGTGCTCGGCAACACTTGCATGCAGGCCGTGCATGGACCTGTGATTTCGGCTGCTCGGAGAAGGAAGAGGAATTCCACTGGCTCATCAAGTATGGCACTAGCCCTCTCTCTGACCACCAAGGAATTCTTAATCCTTTTTTCCTTCAGTCACATCATAACTTAGCAATGCCAAACTACTGACGCGCAGGTACTCTCCCCTCCACAACGTCAGGCGGCCATGGGAGAAAGGTCACCGGAGGCAGCAGTACCCTTCCACCATGCTGCTGACGGCGGACCACGACGACCGCGTCGTGCCGTCGCACACGCTCAAATTCCTCGCGGTGCGACCCGTGATCTCTCCTCCTACCTTCGCCGCCATTTTCTCTGGATTCTGATGAATTTTCTCTGTTGATTGGGGGCAGACGATGCAGCACGTACTGTGCACGAGCGTGAAGGAGAGCCCGCAGACGAACCCGATCGTCGCGCGGATCGACCGCAAGAGCGGGCACGGATGCGGCCGCTCCACGCAGAAAATCGTAGGCGAAATCTTTGCTCGTCTGTGTGTGTCACGTTTTTTTCTGCTGATTTAACTGAATTTTGCTCCGTCCGTGGGTGGCAGATCGACGAAGCTGCGGACAGGTATGCGTTCGCGGCAAAGACGATGGGGATCTCTTGGATCGACTGAACAAGCCTCCGAGCAGTTGGTGCCTTGGTGGGTGCTAATGGGTTTAACTTCTTATAGCATATAACCCTATAAAATTTGAGAGTTGGATCTAGAATGAGATGAACACAACTTCTGTATATTTTTGGCTTAAAAATATTTATGGGCTAGATATGGTTGTGAAAAAAATCCATGGGTCTCACCAATATTTAGAGATTGGTTAGTTGGCTATGGTCATTAGATAGGTGTCTAAAAAAACCGTGATGTGAGAAGGATAAAATTTATTCCCTCTTACACTCGCCATAAGAAGGTGAGACTCAAACCTGGGTGAATGTATTCACAAATATGTGCGCTCACCACGGTTTTTTTTTTTAGAATTACACAGTACAACACAGGTAGTCATAACGCACGCACGCAAACTTTACCCCTACGAGCATCTTCGAAGATTGGGCCGACAAATCCATCTTGGAGATTGACGAAGTCACCACAGAATTTGTAATGTAATTGGTTGGGTTTTTATAGTGATTGGCATGGTAACTTTGCATCTTCTATCTTCTTATGTAGTTCGTTGAAAAAAAATAGTGATTGGCATGGTTGATACTCGATATGTACATATATTACGGATTTCATCACCTATTCCTAGATGGAAAACAGTTGTGAAACTATGAATGTATAAAAGGAGCTTGATCATGATTTTCTACCCATATCTGGGAGTGCCGAAGTTTCTCTAATATTTTGAAGACGTATTCATTCTCCTCCCAATCCTAACCTACCATGCGCAGCGTGAGAAAACCATGTAAAAAACCAAACCAGCCCACCCACTGCACCCCCTAGGCTCCCTTCCCCGACTGTGTGAGAGAAAAAAAACTAACAGCGCCTTATCGTTGGCATATTTTCTGATATTTGCAAACGAAAATCAATTTGTGAATAAAACTTTTTATATATATGTGTGTTCTTAGCGATCTAAAAGTAAAGGCTGAAAAATAAACTTCGATAAAAAAAATCTCAAAATCAGCTCCAAATTTAAAGTTGAAAATTCAAATTTTGGCTGATAAGCATATGAATATGCGAGCCCATAAAGCACCATGTCTTCTTCTCGCTAGAAAAACCATAGTTTAAATAACCAACAGAAATACCGCCTAAAAAGCAATCCAATAGTCCCACCGGGAATAGACATCTAAAATCAGTTTGGGCCTAAAAGACAAGTATGACAGTTGATTTTATGGGTCTATTGCAATGCAGGTCCATTTAACTAGTGGGGAGAAGGAGAAAGAGAGAAGGGTGTGTTCAAAGTAAAACAAAAGAAAAGTGGCCAAATTGCGAGCATAATTATTCAAAGCTAGATTAAATCATACTATTTCATATGGTAACTGTAGTTGATATACAACCCTCGCTAGAGTTATGGTAGGCAAGATTACAACTATTTTTTATATAGATCAATATCAATAAAGTATAATTGTATTCGATATACAACACTCACTTATATGGTTTAAAAGTACAAATGTATTTTGTATATACATTTTATATACCAATCAATCAATTTCAATCAATCAATTTCTGTTGTTATAATCTAATAGACTACTACTGCATCTATTTCAAAATATAATAATTTTTAGCTATATATCTAGATAAGAATATAATTGGATGGACAATTTATTACTATATTTTAGGATATTTTAGGATGTATGTAGTAACTTATATTGGATGGATGATTTCAGGTGAACTTGAACATATAAACATTGCTCAAAGGGCACTACCGTATAAACCGAAACTTGGAGATGCCCAGCTCAATATGCAATTCAGGTTCTCAAAATAAAAGAAAATGCAATTCAGTGGAAAAGATCTAGAAAAGTGGTAACCGGCACGCGACCACGCGTACAGAGTAAGCTGATCGCACGCGTACACTATCCGGGCACCAAAACCGCTGCTCAAACCAACAAACCCTCCCGGCCCCGGAAATCCCACGAATCCGCAAACCAGTTCGCCCCCCAAATCCGACCGCCGCTCAAGCCCCACGCCGCGCCACCGGCCGCCACCGCCGCCGCGGACAGCCGCGATGCCGAAGAAGATGGGCGTCAACTCCAAGGCGGAGGCGGCCCGCGAGCGCCGCTCCGTCGCGGAGGCCGACCGCCGGGACCGCGTCGAGCGCGCCAAGGAGGAGGAGTACTGGCGCGAGGCCGAGGGCCCCAAGTCCCGCGCCGCGCGCCGCCGGGAGGAGGACGCCGAGAAGCGCGCCGAGGCCGCCGCCCGCAAGGCCGAGAACCGCCGCCTCGCGGAGGCCGAGGCCGCCTCCGCCTCCGCCTCCGCGCCGTCCAAGACGGCCGCCCGCAAGGCCTCCCGCGTCGGCGCCCCGGCGCCCAAGGTCACCGAGGCCGAGCTCGCGCGCCGCCGCGAGGACGAGCGGCTCCGCCTGGAGCGCGAGCCCGAGGCCGCCAAGAAGCGCGCCGCGCGCACCGCCGAGGAGGAGGAGTACGAGCGCGTCGTCTTGGTCGCCAACACCAACAGGGACGACTCCATCATCGAGGCGAGGTCGGTCGACGAGGCCATCGCGCGGATGTCGCTGGTTGACTCAGAGGGAGCCTTGCCCGCCGACAAGCACCCTGAGCGTCGCCTGAAGGCATCATTCAAGGTATAGTGACCAAACTTTGTGCTTATTTTAACTCAATTGCTGCCCGATAGTGTGGAATCGTGTTTACTTCTCAAAATATGTTGCTTGAAGACAATGAATTGAGCACCTCACTACTACCATGTATGCATATGATACAATGGTAGTCGTTGGTTGTAGACTTGTAGTTTCTACTTTCTACTGTGATTGTAAATCACAACAAAAATGGGAAAAAAATCACAACAGATTGAAGTCTGAATGCAGGTTAGTATGGCATGTATTATTTTTCCTCTCCACTTTGTGTCGTAACTTAATTATGGAAATTGACATGTTATCCCATTTTGTAATAGAATGACAACTGCTAATATGGTACTTCATTAGACAATCTTAAGTTTGATGTAGCACAAACTCGGTTAGATTTGATTTTCCCATATGATTATTTCATTATTTGACTTACTAGGATGTTTGATGTGCAACGATTGAACATTCGGCGTTTGAATTTATTTGTGATAATCTTGATGATAGGCATTTGAAGAAGCAGAACTCCCTAAGTTGAAGGAAGAAAAGCCAGGCCTAACACTGAATCAGTACAAAGACATGATATGGAAGCTATGGAAGAAGTCTCCAGACAACCCTCTTAACCAGGTTTGCTCACATAAAGATATTTAATTTAGCTTGTTCCTGCTTACACATAATCCTTGCACATTCTAGGTTATTGTTGTGTATTTTAATCTGCATGCTCTACCACTAAAACATTTTATTCAAAATTATGTTCCCTTAATGTTGTGAACTCAAAAAGGGTTACGATTGTCAATTGTGGTGGTCTACTCGAATGTACGAAGAATGGATGCAATATGGGTATCGCATTAAAGTTAAGGTTTTCACTTAACACCACATGTTTTTACATTGGATTGGGCTGTTCTGCTGGCTTACGATCATCCTAGAGGCGAGTAGGCAGCAGCCTGCAGCTTCTCTTAAGCACCGGCATTCATGACCCCGCCGGAGTTGTTGCGATGGTGCAGAACATGGGCAGGCAACAACCAAGGAAAGAGGGACCTAGGGCAGGCATGTGTGGTGAAGGCAAAGTGTTGGTGAGCAGCATGTCCATGCATGAGGAGAAGAAGAGCGGCTCCGGGGTGAATTGTCATGGATGGTGGGAATGTGCAGAGACGTTGGTGATGACGGTGGCTAGGACGCGGACAGGGTGAATCCTCGACGGTGGCAGTGGTGGTGGCTGGATTGTGATTTTCTGACACGAAGGTTAGTGACGGTGGCAGTCAGGAAGCGGGCGTGGCGGCAGCAGCGTGGACACAGGGAAGGACTGAGAAGATGGCCAGTTCATGCTTGCTTGCGTTGTTGCGTTGATGGGTTGGCCCAAATAACCAAACCCCTGGCCCCGTCCAAGGTGCAATGGAATGCAAAATATGTGGTGTTAAGTGGGAATCTCTAGCTAGACCTAGTCCAGTGTTAAACTTAGGTTAAAAAGATGGCCCAGTGTGAAATTTACTCTTTCTAATATTTGCTTTAACTAAGGAAATCAGAAGTACTATGATTCTTAGATACTTGTATCAATTGTCCATCATCTGACTGGTATTTATATTTAGGCTGCAGAGTGATGATGCATTCCTGCTGAATTGTAGAATTTCCAAGGTAAGTTTTCATGGCATGACCAGACACACATTTTACTGTCAACAATTTTCTTGAACAATAATGCACTAAAACACACTTTTTCTTGATGTGCAGACTTCCAAATGGGTCAGAACTTCATCAGATGCTCATGGACTGAATGTGTGGGAGATGATCAGCTTCTCGGCTAATAATTTACAAAGTGATGCAGTATATATCATGTGAGCTCGTTTTTGTTAGAGATTTTCTTCTGGTTCCTGTTGTGCGTAATGTGGTCGGGGGCACGTTCACTTGAATTTTAACGATTGTCAATTCGAAATTGTGGTTCATACAAGATAGCTATGGCATTGGCTCTCTACCCCAATGTAGGGGACACCTGTTTCTGTTTATATTTGCGGGTGCTTTCCTGCTTTCTCTGCTCATTTCATGGATGGAGTCATTAAGCGTCATAATCCGAGTTCTCACATCGGCAAGCTTGCAGCGTAGCAGTATAAGGGCTGTTCGGGAAGCTTTTAGGATTCTGAGAGCCGAGCCTGAGAGGCAGATGGTTGGTAGCCAGCTTCTCAGAATTAAAAAAAGCTAGGTTCCCAGCTTTTGGCTTTTTATTTTCTGGATTCTACAACTATAACTTCTCAGAATCTGGACCAAAAGCTGAACTGTTTGGGGGAGCGAATCTGAAAAAACTAGGTTTCCCAGCTTCTAGCTTCTAGTTTATTTTCTGAATGCTACAGCTACAACTTCTCAGAATCTAAACCAAAGCTGAACTGTTTGGGGAGCTTTTGATTCTGGGTGAAGCTGTAGCAACTATAAGCTTCCTAAACTGGCCCTAAGCCAGTATAAGCATGATTTTTTTTTTTTGGCAAAACTGTGGCTCATAATATATAGCTGTAAGTTAACATTGGAGCAGCTATAAGCTTCCTAAACAGGCCCTAAGCCAGTATAAGCATGATGTTTTTTTTGGCAAAACTGTGGCTCATAATACATAGCTGTAAGTTGACATTGGAGCAGACTGAGCTCAATTTCTCAAATAGCCTCTCATCAGAAGGTTATACTATAGTAAAATGACATATTTTCTGAACTTGCCTTGTGGTCTTCTGCAGGCTGCGCATTTCATCAGTACAGATAGTGTACAACACCAATAACCAATGATACGAACTGAGCATGATACAATATGACAATAGCATATTACTGCAGGAAGTCCATCTTAACGTCAGTGACATCGAGTTGCAGTATCTCAGCTCTGCAGCTTAACATGACGCCAACACTGCAAGAGCAGCAAGGTCGTTAATATATATGATATGATTTAAAGGAACATGGCGCCAATACAGCAAGAGCAGCAAGGCCATGAACATATTATGAATTTAAAAGGTCGGTTAAAAGGGCTTAGATAAGAAAATATGAGGAATTGAAAATTCAGGCTAGGTTTTTTTTTGAAACGAACCTTGGGTGTGTGCGTCCAAGATCTCCGTGCACAAACTCCTTTATGTATGTCCCAGCCTGTATGGACACCAAGGTTGATTAAACCGGAGGGAGCAAACTACAGAATATAAATGCTTTTGATGAATTGCCTTATGACGGATTCACAAAAGCATTTAAGAATTGCAATATTTTTACAAGTTGATCTGACATACAAAACCATAATATACAGTGAAGAAGACCACATTCATTCAGCGAAAAATAATAACCCAGGCAATCACAAAAGATAGAACTGACGGGAAGGACAAAATTGCAATGCTTACTTGAGTGCATAGATGCAACAGGTAATAGTTTGACCCGCCAGAAATTTTTTCAATCTCCATCCTGACAGATGGTTTTCTGTTTCTCAGATTTATGGAACATAAAATGGATTTGACAAAGCTGAAATCAGTCTCAACTCACCAGTGTATAATCCGTTTTCTCTCTAATGGACTTCTACGATGTAAGACTCTTATTGGCGTCTTTTGTACAATTTCCTACACAGCAAGCAAGAGTTACTATGTTCACATAGTATCCAAATACCTTAGAACAACAAAGAAAATAGAAAATCAATGACCTTAGCTAAGATCCAAACCTATTCTTTCCAAATATGAAATATATTAGTCACAAATAAGCATGATACATATAAGACTCAGATTTATTCGGAAACAGCATGTGGACATTAAGGCAGAGAAGGTCTTACTGGATAAACATTTGAGGCCAAAGGTTATGACTGTAATGGCCACTGGCAGTTTAAAATTTACAAGAAATCATCCATTATTTCCTGTGATCGCCCATACAGTATTTTTCTACTGTTGTAGACTTATTCTGCACAACCCGTGTTCTGGTTCTAATTTATTAGATCAGGACAATCTTATGGGATATGGCAGCACGTTGCTAGGTGTGAAAAGAAAATGAAAAAAAAAACAACCAAAGAACATGATCAAAAGTCAAAACAACACTCTGCAGGTCTTTAGTAGAAAGAAAATATGTTATACCATATCTTTGATAAGAGAAATATTATGTAGGTCATCATCCGTCAGAGGGCGAGACGTCCATATGAGGGCAGCATACTGCTTCTGCACACGTATAGTAGAATTAAGCACTGACAATCAGCAAAAGGTTATCACCTTTCGGCAACAAAGTTATTTATGGCTTCAGACAACAATGCAATAAGTATGAAACATATCATGTTAAATACAATAACAAACTTTGATGCTATCGTTTCAGTAAAGTGATATATCATCAGTGGTAGAGTACCTGCTTCTCTGCTTCTCCTTCCCGCATCATTGTCCATATTTCACTGCCTACCAGCTTGAGATTTCTAACCCTGACCTATAAAATGCTGAAGCATAAGCACATCATATCTAATCCAAGTGCGATGTTGATACCCTTTACTGTGTTCTTACATGTTTCTTTTCAGAGTCATTAATCTTATCTGCTATTTGTTGAACTTCAGTAGCAGATGGAATAGATCGCACATTCAAGACTTCAACTAAGAATGGACGACCAGATCCAAGCATCCGAACCTGCATATATGGTTCATTCAGCATAGAAATAACAACAGATACTCTGATGAAAAAAATAGCAAAAGACACAACTCAAAACCATGGGATTACATCAATATCTTCTCTTCCAGCAGCATGGAACTTATAGCCATCACCTTTGCAGATGGCACGGACATTCTCCCCAATTATCTCCTACAAAGGGGTATGGGGATGTTCAGTTGTACTTTTATTTCTTGGGTTGAGACAGCATATAAGGTATTGTGTCTTACCTCAACTGATGCTTCCCCCATTCTCTCATCATCAATTATCCAACATGACTGGCTGACATTCCTTGAAAGCTGATAATGAGGAACGTTGTCATGAGGGAAACAACTCAGTTGAATAGCACAGCATCAATTAAAGTGCAAACATGCAAAGAAACCTTTAGTTTGCTTCTATGCACTGAGTATGAGGAAACACTTCCAAGTGGCATTCCTAATGGTAATAATCCATTACAGAAGACACTGCTGCAACAAAAATATTTTTCTGTTGCCTAACTTAAGGTTGTCCTATGATTATACAGAACTACATAGTTGTTCCAAGTACGTAATTAGGAGATTAGCAACTACAAAAAGGATTACTGTAGTGTTGCTGACATACTGATGAATTATGCAAGTTAAGACCAAGTATTCATGGAGCATACCTTCAAGTATCTTCCACCAATATATATGGGTGACCGTTGGCAAGATATCACAAGATGGCAGGGTTCTAACACCTGAAGGGAGATATAAATAAGTGAACCAAAATCAGTAATATATATGTCTGATTTCTTGACCAAATTGGCACAATGATAGAACATTTGGCACCTTTTCAGGTGGCAATTGAAATAAACTACGGAAGTCTTGATCTTGAATGCCTTCAAGGTTCTTGTTGATGAATGCATCTGATTCACTTAATATTTGTTTATCATCATCTGTTGAGCCCCTTTTACTGCTTCCATCTCTTGATTCTGTTGAGACATCAGACAAAACAATAAAATAAAATGTTGAAAAATGACCGCCCATCAACAATGCAGTCTTTCTTCATTAATTTCTATACCTGTTTTTCTTTTACGACCACGGTCATTTGGCAGAAGCCTTAGAAGCTTTTGTGAACCTTCATCATGAGTATAAGTTAAGCGAATTCGAAATGAATTATTACCATGTTTCACATTCTGCACGAAATTAGTCAACCGTTTTGAGATAAGTAAACAAGCAATGCTTGATTTCAGGAGATATTATCAGAAAAAGGCATTTACCATTTGTTTTTCTACTGACGGTACTAGCAATATTCTCAAGGCCTCCTTCACTGACATTGTCTGTTGAGAAAATATTTTTTCATCGAACCAATTTGCACTGCCATATTTCTCTTTCATATATAACCTATTAAAGACACAAATGCCAGCACGTTATGAAAATGCCAGTGCAGTGTCATCATAGATTTAATATAAGCACACAACAGAAAGTTCCATCTGTGGTTGAGAACAAACACAGTAAATTGTTGAAGTATAATTATTATCCATCAAGACTGAATATACTTCATTTCTCTGAATTTTTTGCTAATTAAAAAAATGTAAATACCTTTCACTTACAAATGGTTGCATTATATATCACCACTTACATAATTTTAGCTTTTAAAAATGATTAATATGTGGCACCCCCTTCAGTCACAAACCAATTCATGGTGCTGTATAAAAAAGTGAGGCAAAAATTCTTAGGTGCAGATGGTTACCTAATGGCACGATCATTAGCTGCTATAACTGCAGGCAGTGAAATTTCTAGGGAGAACTCATCGACTTGGTGACCCTCTCTCTGGACTGCTTCAGATATAATTGAAGTAACATTATCGATAGGAGAAACACTACGGAGTGGTTCTACACCATCATCTTGATAGCAGGTGGGCAGTAACACTCCAAAGCAAATAGAGCAGTACGCCTCATCTTTTGACAAACATGAACAAGACCCACTTTTTGCGGAATCGTCATGCTCTTCAAGAAACGAATGCAGAACTGATGCCGTAAGAGAAAGGCATGGTGCTGCATAACTAAAGGCTCCAAAGAACCGAAAGATGCACCGCACACAGACCTGCAAATATTGTGCAAAAATGTTGACAAATTTCTCCGTGTGTGAAACTGAAAAATCATTGGGTTCAGCATGGCATCGAAATGTTCATTCAGTAAAGGGGAGGAAATGGATCCCACAACATAATCGTAGTAATACACGAACAATACGTAACACCCAGTACGCTATCCAAAAATATTTCCGTAATAGGTGAAATCGGAATTGGGGGAAGTTGAACATGGATTGGATAGTGAAAAGTGTGCAGCAGAGGGCATGACTGAGAAGACGAACCCCGACGGAGAGGAGGTGGTGGATGGCGTGGAGCGGTGGGAAGGAGGACGCCGCTGCGCGTTCGAGGATGCTCCTCGCCTCCGCATCCACCTCCGCTGCGGCCGCCATGGTCCTCGACGCGGTTGATTAAACCCTAGTTAATCCCCTCTAGTTCAGACTAGTCCTATGGAGAGAGAGACCTCCTTCCTTCATCTGAACTTGGGCCACCTGATTTAACACTAATCTCAAAGCAAACAAACCTCTCAAAATTTCACCCTTCTTCTTCCCCCCTCCTTGCTGCTCGCCGCCTACCGGCGGCCACCAGCACCGGTCGTAAAGGTCAGAGCAGAGCGAGGAGAAGGGTGCATTCAACACAACAGCGAGGCTCGCAGTCCGCCCATCGCCGTTCCTGCTGCGGTTGGGCGTGAGAACACCGTGATCCTGCCGCGGCCGGGAACGGACCGGTGCAGATCCCACCGTAATGGAGCGGAAATCGCCGCCGATGCCTCGGCCGTCGGGGGCGCCGAGCCGCTCGCCGCCGCGTCGCCGTCCACGGTGGTTGTCGGCCTCGAGGCGAACAGTGGCGGGCTCCGCAGAGAGAAGCTTTGCGCCGTAGAGGAGAACAGAGAGGTACGCTGCTCTACGATTTGTGCTAAGGCACGTGTCACACAGATGTTCAATGTTCTTCAGAGATCAGGTGAAGGGCGGGCCAAGATCTTCAGAGTAATTCTTTTCTTATTAGTGATAAAACGATCTGCGATCAATTAACTTGCCAATGTTGTTCATAACCAATCCTGACAAAAAGACAGGTACGTGAAGAATCTCGCACGACAAGCACGCCGATGTGCGAAACCTGCTGAATTGCACTCTATATAATACACCATCTGTTTTTAATAGATGACACCGTTAACTTTTAGACATATTTAACCATTCGTCTTATTTAAAATTTTCATGTAAATGTATATATAAGCTTTAAATTATGCTTAAAATACATTAAGTCATAAAACAACTCTCAACAAAATAAATTATAATTATGTAAATTTTTCGAATAAAACGAATGATCAAACGTACGACAAAAAGCTAACGGTGTCATTTATTAAAAACGGAGATAGTACCGTGAGACACCACCACTTATTAGTACCAGCACTAACACTTTGCCAATCCAAGCACACGTACGATGTGCCCTTCTACGGCCGCAGCTCCGCCAGCTCGTGCACGTTCATCGGGTGGACGAACGCCCCGGGGTCGAAGAAGAGCTCGCGCGCGAAGACGTTCGACGCGGCGGCCGTCGGGTGGAAGTTGTCCCAGAAGAGGTAACTCCCCCGATCCAGGCACAGCGGCGCCGTCCCGTTGCACCCGCCAACGCCGCCGCCGCAGCACGGCCTGTCCAGCACCGTAAAATCTGCAGAAAAATCGCTACACCGTCAGGGACCCTGCAACGTTTTCGTATGCCCAGCCACTGGTGCAGCGAGATGAGAGGACGTACTCGCGCCAGGTAGGACCGTGCCGTTGAGGACGAGCTCGGCCATGCCGACCGAGTCGCCGAGGGAGTAGTGCATGCCGGGCAGGTCGGCAGCGAGGCCGCGCAGCATCGAGCCCAGCATCGGGTACAGCTGCCTGGAGAGGCCGTTCGCCGCGCGGGAGCAGCCGTGGAAGTCGAGGTCGTTCGTGTCGTGCGCGACCGCCCTCTGCGACGGGCAGCACCCCACCAGCGACGGGCTCACCACGCTGAATTTCCTCGCCCCGGCACCGTACAGGTCCTGCAGCCACCGTTTCTCATCTTGTTCAGATTTCTTGCATAACTTTTAGAGGGTTCGTTTTGGAGCATTGGATATACAGCTCTGCACCTTGAGGTGGCCCTTGTAGGAGGCGACGAGGCTCTGCAAGAATTCGGTGTCGTTGCGGGTGGTGTTCGACGGGAAGTCGGTGTACTCGAATAGGTCGTTGCTGCCGGTGTTGATGAAGATGAGGGATCTCGAGATGAGATCGGCCGTCCCGTTCCCCATCTTCTGAACGGCCGACGTGAAGCTCTGCACCTGGGCACTCATGTTGAACACTTCCGTGCACTGCTCAGACAAAAGCCATGTCAGTGTGACACACACCAACAATTAAGCGGACAAAAAAAAGACGAGTCAGTGCACGTACCACTTTCCAACCCGTGCTATCTATCAGCCCTGATCCTCCTGACGCGAAGTTGATACCTTTGCTCATCTGTGAAATGATGGTCACGTCCGGCAGGGAGAGGTACGGTGGCGGGCTCTTGTCGAAGCCAAGTTTTTGAGCTGCTCATCGATGCAACGATCAAACCGCCCGGTCAGTGACATTATCTCCAAATCTTACTAGGGAATGCTAGAAAATAAAAGCAAACGTTTCTTCTCGATTTCAGCTACATACCGAGCTGGTCGGCCAAGTTGTATCCATTGCTGAACCGCCCGGTCGGCGACTGGAACGGGTAGTCGACGCCGTACCTCGGGTAGTTTGCCTTGCAGTTGGCCTTGCAGTTCGCCAGGAAGTTGTTGTTGCCGACGTCCACCGTGGAGTCCCCGAACACGAACATGGCCGGCACCGCGGGCTCCTCGGCGAGCCCGCGCCGCGCGAGCTCGAGCAAGCACAGCGCCGCCACGAGCGCGAATGCTCCGCGGCGGCTGGCCATCACAGCGATCGATTCTCTATGACTCTCGCTGTGCTTCTTCACTGCGATGGCGCGCGGCCGACTTGGCAGTGTAGACTTGCAGAGCTCGTCAACGTGCACTTATATATAGCATGCGTGGCGAAGAACGTGACAAGAGAAGAGATCGAAAGATCGTGTGTCAGCAATGCATGAACTGGGACGAGCCTGAACAGCAGCAGGCCAATGTCACTATCTTCGAATCCCTCGCCGCGGTTAATAACACCAAAGGATATCCTCCTTGTACCTTAATGCTTCGTGTTCCTTGATCACGTCGACGATTAAAAAAAAAAGGCAACGGAAGCAATGCAACTTCAACTTGCCAATTTGACATTGTGGCTGTGAAAAGAGAGCGCATATCTGGACTGAAACGTGCTGTGCCAGCGCAAGGCAGAATGTCAGAGTACGGGATTATGGTTTGGATTTTCAGTCCGTAAATCCGTTTTCCGTTGCAAACTAGCGACGCTACGTACATCCCGTCGGTATAGGACAATATAAATCCGTTTTCAGTACGTAGGCACTTCCGCATCGCAAAAGCATAGAATATATCAGCGACGAACAGGACACAATCGACATCAGTATTTCATACGCATCTAAATACGTACGCTACTAGTTAAGACTAAACAATTAGAGGAATCGCCTGTTCATGTTAGGTATACTGAATCCAGCAGTTCATGTTAGCCTGTTAGGTATACCAATCGACTAATCCAGCAATGGTCAATTAAAACCGAGGGAATAAGCTAGATGATTATGACTTTTTATATAAAAAAACACTTTCAGTAATTATTACTCCACTGAAATAATTGGTTAAATATATTGACTTTCTTATATTATTAGAAAAGATACACTGATTTCATAATTCATAAGCATTTGTTGGTCCACTTGAAATAAATAGCAAATTTCGCTATACCTGGTGGCTGGCTGCTCATATGCATACATTTCACATCGTAGACTATTGTCCGCATCCATGGTGTTTTTTCATTTGCGTAGACGAGCACATGAGCATCGCTATCCGATGCGGAGAAGCGTGTGGAAAGAGATCGATTAAGAAACCGGATCTTCGCTTCGAACTTCATGTTCGGCAGCAACAGACGGGCATGCTGCATTAACTGTTGATACTAACTGAAGGCGTCTGTTCACTGCAGACAGCATCACGGAATCTGGAATTGATCTGGACGGCGACCATACCATGCTCGCTTGGGCAAGTGGACGACAAATGTACACGCTGACATGCACGTACGGCTCATGTCAACGAAGTTCGAAACCTGGTTCTGTTTCAGGTGGTTGGCCTGTTTCCAGTGTCCAAGCGCCCGCAAAACTACACCACTACAGAAGTACAGATCGGTTCTCTGTACCGCTGTACGTGCCAGCGATTTGAGAAAACAAGGAACTAGCTTACTAGCGTAACTTCCGGTCCGATGGCAGATTGGCAGGCCGCGGCAGGCACCAGAGTGAGAAACACGAATTACAGATGAGTAATTGCGACGATTACGCAAGTGACCTGGGCCAAAACTTGGGTAAATCCCTCCTGGCCCAACTACAGTAGCCCGCCCATTTTCAGACTACTCAGACTAATAGTAAAGGGAGGCAGAATCGACTTTTTTCCGAGTCCAATCAAGTTGATGACGCTGCACGTTACTATGACTTTTTTCCGAGTAGGTATAATCAGGATGATTTTTTTAAAAAACAAATAAGCAAAAACACTTAACAATAACTAATTTATAAATAAGCTGAAGTGCATATTTACTGGAGAATGATAATTGTGCAATGCATGGACGGTTGATATAAAAAACGGGAGAGATCTCAACTTTTATTTTTTAGCTTGCCACATGTTGAGCTTGGTTGTATAATAACTAGATAGAAAGAAAAGAATAGCGCTGTTAAATCTTGATTTCGGGGGATTTGCAAATTAAACCTGGCAATGTGCATTGGCGAGTAAGAAAAGGCATATAGGCTACACTTTGGTCCCACCCCTTGTTTATATGGAGTTCATTTACGCCTTACAAACTGAACTCACGCTAAATAAACCCAACCAGCCAAACTTGTGATATGGCCGAGTAAAACTTTGATGCATTTGCGTATACGGTATATATACCTGGCCAAACTTGTCATGGCCGAGTAACTCCTGGTGTTGTGTTAGGGTCGTTGACAAGCACCAGCCGGTTTGTCAACTAGTACCGCGACAGGGTTCGGCTTCTGCCGCTCGCGTTGGTGGCGCGGCCGCAGCGGAGCGCGTTGCTCGGGATGGGGAGCTCGTCGCGGAACGAGTGCGACGGCGTGTACACGCGGAGGTAGAACTGCTGGCCCTGATACCTGCGCGCCCAGTCCTCCGACCTGAGGTTCCACATCCCCACATTGTCCAGCGCCACCAACACCGCCGTCCACGCCCTCGGGTACACCTGCACAGCGCCATCAAGCGAGCAATTTAGCCAGTCCGCAATTCGTTTTCGTGTATATCCGCACTGCTCGGCGCCCGCGTCGAGTGAAACGTGGCTGCGTGTGTTACCTGAACCGTGCACCGGGAGACTGCGTCGACGAGGTTGTAGCTCTTCCTGCTCTGCTCGCTCCACACTCCCCTGTCCATCCTGCGACAATGCCAAAATCAGCGAACAGATGAGACCAGATGGTGCGGGCTGCATTAGTCAGGAGGCATGTAACGTGGGCCGTACCCAACTACGAACAAGCTGTAGCCGTCGAGGTGCCAGATCTGGACGCTGTCCTCGCTGTTCTCGAACACGATCTCGAGGAATGACCGGTAGTCGGAGTCCATCACGGCCGCCTCGCTCCGCGGAGCCGCCGCGGCGCCCGCGGGCGGCGCGTCCGGGATGCCGCCGAGCCGGAACACGTCGCTGATCCTGTAGTAGTCGGCCAGCTTGAGCGGCGTGTCGGCCTCCACGAACGACACGCCGTTCACGGCGTACCGCTGCTTGCCGGCGACGCGCCCCGCCGAGTTGGCGAGCCGGATTGTGCGTGTCACGTTGATCGAGCCGTAGTGGTACGAGCCCTGCGGGTTCGGCCGTGGCCCGCTCGCCGTCAGGTTCGTCCTGGGATTGGGAAAACATCAAAAGAAACCCACCGGTCAGTACCAGCATCTGCCGTCCATCGCGAGAAACGGACGGTCAGGATGAGGCGATGCGGCGAACCTGATGGAGCGAGCCTGGTCGAGCGAGAAGTCGATGTCGTCGGCGAGGCCAGCCGGTGGCGGCGGTGAGGAGATGGTGGCGCTCGAGCCGGCGTAGCGCAGGACGGCGGACGAGTTGAGTGCACGCTTGGCGAAGCGGGTGGAGACGGTGATTTGGTAGACGCCGGGCGGGCGGTTGGCCGTGAACAGCACGGACAGCGACTGGCCGGCGTGGACGTAGAGGGAGCTGTAGGTGTTCTGCACCGTGTGCGTGCCCTCCACCTCGACCAGCGTCATGTTGTGGTCTTGGATCCTCAAATTGAGCGTGCTCTGCAGGCCGACGTTGGAGACGCGCAATCTGTACGTCTTCCCTGCAAAAAGAAAAAAAAAAGTACACATTACCCGTGCTTGAAAATCTCACGGTATGATCAGATTGGTCAAGGTCACTCGAAAATAGTTGTGTTCTACGTAAAGGCAAAAGGCCTCACCTTGCTCAACGGTGAAGCTTGCGCCATTTGGACCTTTGCCGTTAATCAGGATGCCATCAGGGGAAGGCAGCTGCTTTCCACTGTCCAGCATGGCTTGCAGAGCCTAAGCAGCAACAGCAAAACAATCACTTAGTACAAGGATCCATCTACTGTTGATGAAATTAGTGTAACTGCAATGCCATGCCTTGTGGCTGGTCTTGTACCAGTCGCCGATCAGCATGGTGTACTCGCCGGCCGGCGGATCGAAGGGGACGGGGATCAGCGGGCGGCTGCGGATGCGGATGGCGCCAAAGCCGCCGGCGGCCTTGTGGAAGGCGAGCGACGGGAAGTAGAAGAAGCTGCCGATCTGGTCCTTGGCCTGCATTTGGTAGGTGAAGTTCTGGCCCGGCGGGATCGGGCAGTTCGTGCCGGACACGCCGTCCTGCCACGAGTTCTTCCTGTGCTGAAGCCCGTTCCTGCAATTGTTTGTGACTTTGCATTTTTGATTTTTGTAGTTACGGTAAAGAATCGATGTAATTGTGAGGGATGGCATGTTTGAAATAATGCACATATGCGTGATCTAAGATTGTATTTCAGGACCGAAAATAAACGTCGGAGGTGATCTAAAACTAGCATACATAACAAAAACGGAAACAAAGTGGAAACGTATGCCAACAAGGCTGTGTGTAGATTCAAATTTTGGATCCAAACTTCCAACTTTTTCCATCACATCAACCTGTCATACACACACAATTTTTCAGTCACATCGTACCAATTTTAACCCAAACTTCCAACTTTGGAAGGAACTAAACACAGCCTAAGGCAATAACTAAACTCTCTCTCTAAGTTTGTGGTGTATTAGATGCACGGACGCGACTACAAAAGCTAGCTAATCATGTAATCAACCTAATCTGCACGCAAAATGCGTTCCAAAACAAACTTCCACGTTTTGGGTTCCCCATGACAAATCTAGCCTAGTTGATGTTTAGCAGTATATTCAATCAAACCAAAGATAAGTTCATCTACAGAATAGTGCACATAATTTGTACAAACTAATGATGAAAATGAGCAAGAACGCAGATTGACTGGGTGCAACGCTTGAGAGCGTTTCTGTGTAAAGTGAACTTGCCATGACAGAAGAAACGGCTCCGACAAACGGTTGTGCACGTTGACGATCAAGTTATCATTCGTCTGGCAGTCAATCTCCGGCCCCGGAAATTGCCCATTGATCAGAATACCCTACATGAAGAAAAAAACACACACAAACAAGTACTAAAAGAATTAGAGAAACAGCGTACACATCAACCCTGACCAAAGATGAACAGCAGAACAGATCCATCAAAATCTACACCTGCTGCTGGACGCCGAGAGGATTGATGTTCCCAGTAGTAACCTCCCAATCGAAAAATCTATACGGATCTTCTGCCCGTGCGGAGGAGACGAAGACGAACATGCAGACGCAGACAGCGGCCAGGGCTCCCATGCTTCGCCGTGACGACATGACGCCGGTCGACGCTAGCTGCCGGGAGACGGTGGTACGGCGGTCAGGCGGCGGAGATCGATAGCGCGCGCGGCGCCTGCTGTGGACTCTGCTCCGGGTCCCGTACGTCGCACATTTTATAGATGAGATCTACTGGGACGCAACCGCAACAGCATCGATGTACGTGAAAAAAATCATCGTTATTGAGTTTAGGCAGGGTGGTTTAGTTTAGGAGGAATTTTAATTCTGTTACAAAAGAGATAAGATATTACAAGGGGATTGGTAACAGAATTTGTGGTATGTCTATGGAGCGATGGACGGTCGTAAAATTCGTGGTGTTTCTGTTCATCTTAGCTGATGCCTTTGGGGATAGACGAACTTCCAAGTTCCAATGTCTTATCTGCCCTTTGTTTGTCCGGTTTTGTTCATGTCCTTATATTTTCAACGCGGAACAGTTTTATGGATATCTCTTCTACATGTCCAGCATTGATACGACCTAAATTAAACTGGTCCGGAATAAGTTTTGTGACAAAGTTGTGATTAATTTACAGACCGCGCGTGTACTCATATGTATGCGTAAAGGAAAGGAACACGTACGTTTGTGCTCATTGTTGACTGCATTACAAGGCAGTATTACCACCGATCTCAACTTGGAAGGCAAGGTTAAAAAAAAATACAAGACAGTTGTAGCCACCGATCAACTGGTAAATTTACAAGGCAAATTTTGAATCCGTATTTGCCAGCAACGCGGACTATCATAGCTAGTATTTTTGACTTGAAAGAAAAACTGGTAAAACTCTTGGGCACTTCACCATGAGATCGTCCAAATGGGCCGGAGCTGCACCGCAAAAGCAGCCCACGGGCTACAAAGCACGCGCGTCACTCGCTCTCGCGGCAAAGCCTCTCTCCCTCCCCCTCTCGCTGTCCGGTGGGCCCAGGTCGTCCCCACACGACAGCGCTCCGCCTCTCCTTCCCGACTCCACCGACCCCCCGCCGAGCTTTCTCGCCTCCCGCGAAGTCGCCACCGCGCGCTGCTCGTCCGTCGTCGCCGCTGCATCCGCCTCCTCCTCGTCCTCCCTACGGCCGTAGGGTGCGGCGGCGGAGGGGGCGACGATGCCACGCTGCGGAGCCGGAGGTCCCTGCGTGTGGATCCGGGCCCTATCCCAGCCGCAACGCCACGGTGCGCGCTACCGTTGTTTGGTTCGATTTTGGCTGTGGTTCCGATTTCGCTGTGGGTCTTACCGATTTGTGCGCAGGGAGGAAGCCATGGCGGGGCGTGAGGGTCGTCGTGCTGCTGCTGCACGCGCTGTTCATCGGCGCCGTCTTCCTGCTCGATCCGACGCTCCAGAGGCAAATCCACGAGGCCAAGTGGTACGAGTACGACCCCCCCCCCCCCCCCCCTTGAAATTTCTCCGAAATGTTTCCGTCGGAGTTCGTGTTATTGGTTTCTGTTTGAGCTATATGGAGTCGATTTGCTCCTAGCTTCGGGTGGCAACTAGGGCTCTTTACATGGGCAACATTTCGTCGGGTCGTAATTGGCAATTGGCTTGTGTCAGGTCGCAGCCTGCTTTAGTTGAGAGCAAGCATGGTTTTTATGTATGCCTTCTATCTGCAATGCCGTCTGTGAGGATGATGTCGTGAAATTACTGGGCTGAGAGCCTTCCAGCATGTTATAATAGTGTAAATTGTATTTAAGTTTGATATAGAAAAAGAAGGATTGCGTGACATGTTTGGACAATTAGCATGGTGTCCCGCAAATGGTGACATGGGGGCTAAGGGCATATTGCTTGGCACTCATTTGTTTCGTTCATCCTATTCAACACCTGAATTAATAGAAGTTTTAAATGGAACAACATGATTGCCGTATGATTTTCACCAAATATGTTGTCTAAAATTTGTAGTTTACTATGGACATGCCAGGGTAAATCTGCTTCGAACAATGCTGCAGTAGCATTATATCATGAACTTTATAATAATATTAATGGATAAAGCGGCATGTTATTGACCTTGAAAACTAAAAACAACATATTTTGTTACTTAGATAACAATTCGATATTCCAAACTAAGATAGTATAAGCCATAAAGCATACCGCATACACCTGATGGAAACTGATGGTTTTTGTTTGTAATTTAGAGATTGTTGTCTCAGATGTTCTAGTGCACATTTTATGACTTGGACAAAGTGACCTTCATAGGAACTGAATAACTATGCTACTAGAACATAAGTGAATTATAAATGCCTATTGATCAATAATTCAATAGATACAATGTGTTGCTCCCTTCCTTCCTTATCAAGCTACCAAGGTATTATCGGAACCACAAATCACTTTTTACTGTTAAAAGTTGATGAAAAACGTGTTTATTTAAAATATTATATAGTCCATAGACCATGTGCATATTTCTTTGTTCATCTTGTTGTCCTTGAGCTATATGTGAAAATAGAGCATCGGATCAAAAGTTGTGCCTATATTTAAAAAAGGGAACATGTATGTTTAACAACCAGTGCTGACATGATGATGGCATCAGCAGACCTTTGCCCCTTTCCTATAATCCACATGCACGTACTTCTTCTTCTAGCAGGTCCACGTGTATGTGCTCAGTTCTCATGAGACCCGTGTTAGCCAGCTTTTGAAGTTTTAAAAACCAGCAGTTATGCTTTATTGACACATATTTTCAATGAGGGTCCACTGAATCAATGGCCAGATGTTTTTTTTTCCTTTTTTGTGAGAATTCGTGATTCTTCTCTCTTTTCTTAGCACTTCTAAAAGGCCTTTGACCAACTCTTATATGTAATATGTAGTTTTTTTTTCTATTTTTATCTTAGCACCTCTAAAAGGCCTTTCACTAACTATTGTATATTATATATACTACAGCTGAATGTCAGCTGATGCTGTCCAGCCTATTTGGAAACTGAAAACACTATTGTGTCATTTCTCTGTTTATATGTATATCTAGAAGAAATTCCATCACCCCTCTATTTAATCTTATTCTACAATCTGCTTTGATGGCAGGTACATAATTCTATATGGGTTGCTGGTTTTACTTACCTTGGTACAATACCTATATACAGCCACTTCTTCTCCAGGGTAATTGATCCTTGCGGATGTTGAAGTTTTCCCTAGATGATGACACTTATACGTTGCGTTTACTTGACTCTTGTGCTGTTAGATATTTACCTGATATGTTGACAGCTGGCTCAAGGATGCATGCAACCTTTATTAATACAACAACTCTCTCAAAGTAATGTCTTACTTTATGTTGTTTTGCCTTATGATATATATGTATTTTAAGTGCTGAGCCTGAGTATCGTACACCACTTATTTATGCTAAATTAAATGCCTTTGTGATTAAGAAAAGGCAGGCCAATTCCAAAAGTGGAAGCTTAAACTCTGCCATGAGTCGCAGCAAAATAGATCAGCAAAATCCACAATCCACTACAGCTTTGTTACTACAGCAGACGATGGATCTATATCCTCCTGGGACATCCACCAGGTACACCTGTTTATGTTTGGAATTTATGCTGCTGAAGTGTAATATTCAATATCTTTTGTCATGTAATTTCTGTCCTGTGATACAGTTGTATGCCTCCATTTTATTTTAGGGATTTCACATGCTCTTACTGCCGGCTCATCCAGGTATCTTTGGTTTTCCAAATTTGGCATCCAGAGATAGTATTAACTGAATACAGTGCTCCAAAAATATACAAAAACAAAGATAATTTGACTTGACATAATGTAGGTCTTTCAAGGATGTAACAAACTAACAATCTGCATTTTGTAGGAGGTATGCTTATTATGGTGATTAGTCTTGTGTTATGCCAATGTACTGAATGACAGGACCAGTGTATCTTAGATTATGGCATGTGCCAATCGCCCTATTTTTTTTGTATCTACTAAGTTGAATGTTGGTCTGCCAATGTATGACATGACCAGTTATGACTACTAGCATCCTTTCTCATCAGTGTGTCCAGTCTTAAGACCCCTTATGCTTTCCAAAGTCCAAACGATAATGAGAGTTTCTCTGGCTTGATTTTTGAGAAGTCATAACCATCACCAGTCACAATCTATCTAATTAGAAAAAGGTAGACACTATCTGAAAAAGAGAGAAGGACACACTGAACTTCTTTTCCTTCATGAACACACCGTGCTATGCTCGTTGTTCTTCTCAATTAACTTTGTAACTGCTCACATTTGTATGCATTATCCATATTTTTTAGTTACTACAAATTTCATTCATACTAGCGTGTCTGAAGTTTTTTGTCCTGTCTACTACCTTTTGCAGCCTCCACGCACCAAGCACTGTCATGACTGTGATAAATGTGTCCTCCAATTTGATCATCATTGTGTTTGGCTTGGAACATGCATTGCTAAAAGGAACTACTGCAGATTTTGGTGAGTTCTGAATTTATATATTGTGCAGCTTAGTTTGAACATATGCTTCTCAGGTGCAGCATAATATCCTGTGTGGTGTATGTCATGCAATCTCTACATAAGCACCCGAGTGTCCTGCTTCAGTTAACATGTGTTTATTGTGAGAAATCAATTATTTGTGTGCTCATCCATCCATTATTTCTTTAGGTAGTCAATTTGTGTCTTGTCTTAATTTTTGTACTCCAAGTCTCTGTGGCAGAACTGTAGATCGAGAAAACCTGTATGAAGATACCAGGTTATAACGGTTATATGCCTTTTGCCTAATTATCAAACCATGCCCTCACACTTTCTTCATCTTGATTCTTATCAAGGATTTATTTGGCTGCAATTAACTGTGCACGGAAGCTGTGCTAAATCATTGCCATGCCTTTCCTTTAATATTGATCTAGTAGGAATTAGCAGGACTGTGTGTTCCCAGCAATTCATTCAACCTATACCTCCCATCTTCCATAGTCCAGAATTCTAGAAGTCTGATGCTTGTTATTGTGTTACATTTTCTTGAGGAGGTTGGTCAGGGATCATGTTAGTCTTAATTCTTAGGCATCCTAAATGGAAAAAAAAAAGGAGCTAACATGCCTCATTGAAATGTACATATAACAATCTAATGTTGTTCTATTATATGACTCATCGAAAGTCTTGGCAGCTATCCTCAGGACATATTAATGTTTTTCAGGTGGTACATATTCGAACAAACAGTTTTAACTGTCTGGACTGTTGCTTTCTACATTCAGTTCTTTTATTTGGGCATCGTTGTATCCTGGTATGTATTTTACCCCTTTTAGACCCTATATGCACAAAGATTTTTCAGTTGTGCCTTTTAGTTGGTCTCCAGTTTGATTCGCCAGACATCTCATCTGAGTATATTGGTTATTTTTCATGGACAGGTGGAAGTTTGCTATTGGTATTGTACTTTTGGTAGCATTGATATTAATCCTCGTGGTCCTGCTGCCCTTGTTGATATTCCATGCGTAAGCTTCTAGTTTATATGCCTGACACCAAAATAGTTGAAGATCTGAATGTCTTATGTGTCATAAATACACAAACCAACCGTGATCCAGGGTTTACTACTTCGGTATGCACAAAGCTACTGCATGCAGGGGCGCTAGGAGGGGGGTGGGGGCTGAAATTTTGGAATGAAAAAAGTGAAAACTGAGCAACTTTTGACTAAATTTGAATAATTCACAAAGAAAAACAAATGAAAAAGTGAAATTTTCGGACGAAGGGATGTGAAATTTTGGAAATTGCAAACCCTACCGTGAACCTTCTGTACAACTCTTGCTGGTTCTGGTAGTTGTATTGATGAGCTTGTTTATATGTCTGCAGTTATCTTGCTCTTACGAACCAAACAACATATGAAATTGCCAGAAGGAAGCGGATTTCTTACCTAAGGTATTAGAATGGCTGAAGATTAGCAATTATGCTTGTGTATATGTATTTGCTTGTCATTACAACACAAGTAATGAATCATTGGAATTGTGCCACTTTCAGGGAGGTTCCTAGCAGGGTTCATCCATTCAGCAAAGGCATTTGCAGAAATCTGTATGATCTTTGCATCTCTAAACAGAGGGGATTTTTTCTGGAAGCAGTGCCCCCGCTGGAGGTACTACAAGCCAGAGCTAGACCTTACACATGCCGAGATGTAATCTCCTGCCGGTGCTGTTAGGAGCTTGGTATATGCTCTATATCTGGACTCACTAGTTTAGTGTAATGCAAATAATATGGTAGCTATAATTTGTGTCTCATTTTTCATGTACAGTGTATGCGCATTTTTCTCCTAGAAAATCTGGATTGATCGATATCCATACCTTGATCTGAGTATGCTCAAATCTGGATTTTTTTTTCTTATGCATTTGTAGATTCAGAAATGGTGAGAACTCTTATCAGCGTACAGGATGACGGATAGAATCCTGGGAATATATGGCCCTGTTTAGTTCACACTAAACTTCCCCCCAACTCCTAACTTTCCATCACATCACATCACATCCAAAACTTTTCTACACACAAACTCGCAACTTTTTTTTCAAACTACCAACTTTTCCTAAACTTCTCTCCAATTTCAGGAACTAAACACAGTCAACCTTTACTTGTATATTCAATTGTGTGATCCAAGGGCCCGACTGGTAGTGCTCCCAATTCTGGTTCTTGGTGATTCTGATTCCAATTCTCCTGAATGGCTGAATCAGATCGTCAACAGAACCAGAACCAGATGTTTGGCTAACAAACTGAATCCTTATTCTGATATGACTATGAGGTTGTCCTAGCTTAATTGCCCATATTAACATAGGCAAAAGTACTTGATACCATTTCTAACGTATTCCAATGGTCTGTTTTTACCACGCACACAAGCTTTTTTTTAAAAAGAGGGCAAAAGCTTTGTTTCGTATATATTGATAGAGCAGGGTGAAAAAAAATACAAAATGTTATTTACATGGCTTCATCAAAACGAGGCCTGGGAAAGGCTCTACGGAATTCCTCCCAAAGCGGTAAGCTCTCTTAAGCTAGTCGCCCCCACCCAAGTGGCCGCTTCTTCTTTAATTTTGGCGAGAACAATCATTGGTGGTTGGCCCTTGTTCCGAAAGATTCTTGCGTTCCGTTCGCACCACAGCTCCCAGGAGATGAGAATCACTAGGATCTTTATGGCCTTGGTCGAATTCTGCATACTGTGTGTAAGCATGTACCACTACTCTTTGACGGAGGTGCAACTGTCCCAATTCTGGAGATTAAGGTGTAATCCCGACCATCATTGAATCTCTATCCAGATTCGTCGGGAGAATCTACAGTGGGCGAGAAGGTGGACTGCCGTCTTCTGTGTTATGTGGCAAAGAGGGCAAACTTGCTGATTTGCCCATCCTCTTTTTTGGAGCCTGTCGGCTGTCCACACCCTGTTTTACAGGATGAGCCACTTTGGTGGCGCCCAACACTTCCAAATTGCCCAGCACACACAAACTTTTGTTTTTCTTCTTCCCTGTACCGACAGCCATGCATCTTTTTGTTTTTTAAGCTGCCATTTCTGTCCATCTTCCTCATGGACTACATATTTCTGTTGCTATAATCTCTGCTCTATTGTTCTGTATGACTGTATCTCGTTCGATTTCGTTCTCATGTGCTCTACTGTACTCGGTAGTTGGTAGTAATGTTGAAGTGTTATTAGAGCATAGCTTCTAAACAAAATCAACCTATTACAGTTGTGCTGAGAAAAGACAAAATCACCACACTACATTGCGTTTTCCGTCGGTTTCACAGGTTTTGCTGCATTTGCAGTTTTCTCACTGGAAATCCGCAGGCTTGAAGAACTTCACATGCAGGCCTTTCTCCACAAGGCCCCAGAGATTCCCAACTATGAGCACGAAGCTCAGACCCATGCCAAGGCTTCCCAGCCCCCAGTTGGTGTACCACATGGCGGTGCCCTTGGCCGGCCTCATGATCGCCACCCACATGAAGCACGGGTACGCCAGCGTGACCGGCAGCGAGATCCCCCCGAGGAGGCCGGCGAGTTCCGACAGGAACGGCAGCGCGACGGCGATGAGGAGGTTGATGGCGCCGAAGAGGGCGCGGAAGCCGGCGCGCATCCACCACGGGCACGGCCGGTTCTTCTTGTGGACGTACCCGGTCTCCATGTTGTCGAACACCGGCATCGCGTAGATCTGATACGTGGTCAGGCAGTTGACGATCACCAGCAGCGTCGCAGTCCCCAGCACCACCCTGGACACGTCCTGGCTGTGGAACTTGTACAGCGCGCTCAGGATCCCATTTGGTGGTATCTGCATCGAACGAACGGACACACGGGGTCGATGAATTTCACAAGAGAACATTTCAAGTTTTTTTGTTCATCGTTCAGGCCAGATGAGGCATTCTCACCTGGTCGCCGTAAGCCCAGAAGCCACCAACGGCCACAGGGTACAAGCAGAGTGCGATGATGACGTAGGCAGCTTTGACGCCCTTCCACATCGGCACGTGAGAAGGATGTTTCAGAGTTGATGGCATTGTGGCCTGCGAGTTGATGGCAAACATACACTCATCAGTGACCTTATCTTTTCCATCGTTGTCAGTGGCTGAGTGGAGACGGAAAGAGTGAGAGAGAGACTTGACCTGAATCTCGAGCACAAGATTGTGCCCCCTAAACGCGAACGCAATGATGCCGAGGCCATTCAGGATACCAATCGCGCCGTCCTCCTCGTCGGTGGTCCTGACCGGGTCGTAGGACACGCCGGCCACCCTCCCCTTGGCCACGGACACGACCCAGATCATGGTGCAGTACGCGACGGCCGCGGTGGCGCCGACGAGCGACACGCCGGCGATGGAGTTGAGGTTCGGGAGCTGGGACAGCAGCGCGGCGACGCAGACGAACACGAGGTACCACTCCACGGTCGTCAGCGGCCGGGCCAGGCACACCTCCCCGCACGCGATGTTGAACAGCAGCTTCATGCTGCCGCCGCCGACGATGATGAGCGCCGTGCAGGTGCCCGCCGACAGGTACATGACCGGGAGCAACGCCAGTATCTTCCCCCATTTCTCGCCTGATCAAAGGCGAAGGCATGCATGAGAAAACAGAGTCGCCGCAGAAAGAGTCACAGTAAGTCGCCGTGAACTCAAGAGGAAAAAAAACGCACCGAAGACGGTGGTGGCGAGGTACATGTATCGGCTGTACCGGGTGCCACCAGCGACGGGCTCGTGGAGCTTGACGAGCAGCCACAGCGTGTAGAGCTGCCACGCGAACGCCACGGTCAGGCAGATGATCGCCCATGTCCTGCAACACACACACAGCGCACCATGTCACATGTGCATGTTCCAAAGTTTCCACGTACTCGCTGCTACTACTAGATCACTAGGAGTAGTACGTAACACGTCGAGCGCGTACCATCCGAGAAGGGAGAAGGCGACGGGGAGCACGAGCGCCTGGAAGCCGATGCCGGAGCTGAGGCTGTGGAACGCGGCGTAGTAGGCGTTGCCGCTGCGGGACTCGGTGATGGGCAGCCAGGCGTCGCGCGGGTCGGCGAGCCGCGTCATTTGGCCGACCTCACCCAGGTAGCCACTCACGCTCGCCACCGCCTTCCTCACGGGGCTGGCGATGTTCGGCGTCCCCATCCCCCGCAGCGGCGACGCCCGGCTGCTCGCCGGCGCCGCCGGTGACTGTATCTGCGACGGCGGGGTCGACACCGGCGGCGGCGTCGGCGTCGGCGGAACCGACGTCACCTCGCTCGACATGGCACAGGCACGCCGCTGCTGCTGCCCGCGGCGCTACGACGTAAAACACCACGGGCGGTTTGGTGCGTTTGCTGGGCGGAATGCTTGAATCCCGGGAGGGTTTAAGGGGAGACGGGATTTATAGGTGGTCGTCTCTCGCGCGGTTGGTGATCGAGTGGGCGAGTCATGCTCATGGAGCGTAGGTGTGAGGGCGAGCCGCAGGCAGCGCGAGCACGGAGCCGTGTGTATGGAAATTGACTCGAGGGCAGCACGACCGTACTAGTCCCGGTCGTAAAATAGTGGCTCGGCCTGTCTCCCTCTCTCGAGCCAAACACGTACAACGATCGAACAACGTCCCCACCATTATACCGTAGTCGGACGGAGGTAGGCCATCGACGCAGCCGGTTGACTGATACGTGTGCAGTGATACATTAATTTATGGGACTGCCCGTCTGCCATTTGACATAAATAAAACACTATAAGAAACTAGCGAATTCTGGTACGTTGGATCAGTTCGAGATTTGTGCAGTGCCCAAACCTAACCTCTCTCCTCCTCGTTCCTCACTCACTATTAAAAAATGATTTAAAATGATTTTTACAAACACCCCTAGCTAGTTCATTTTCACATACGAAGAGATACGTATGTAAAAATATTTTAGGGGTGTTCACTAAAGATCGGTTTAAAAAATAAGGTAATTTTTGCATACAAACCTATTAAGAGCTCCGCATGCCAAATCTTCACATCCAGTCGAACGCGCATTCTTCCCTCCCTCTTCTTTTCTCTCTTTTAAGATCATAATTAAGTCCCTCTACTTTGCTCCTCCTCTCCTCAATCTCTCTTTCCTCCCCTCTTCCTATCATGTATTCTTCTCTTTCTATCTCACCCCTCATCCCCTTCTTGACAAACAACGACGGGAGTGACCAATGGGTGACGATGAGAGGGGCGGTTCATCGTTAGAGGCCTCTGGAGAAACGCGCAGTAGGTGGGTGGTGATAGGACTATAGGAGTTTGCGCCACGACGGGTGGATCTACCACATCCAGCCCCGTGACGAGCGGATCCGGCGCCCTTGGCCCTTCGACGGAAGGTGTTCCCGCATCGCCATCTTCTCACTGTCGAAACGCCCCTGCCTCCTAACTACTCATTTAGCTTTACCCTCACCACCAACACACGCCCACCGTCCACTGTTGACCCTGTGGCTTCGGTGGTGCCGTTACGTTGCCCCTTTGCCGCCGTCATCCCTCTAAGCTTAGAGAACACTCCCCTCTTTCCCCTTACCTCACCCTTTTCCCACCCTAACTCTATTCTAAAATCTAAACCCTAAATTGTCAGGTCACTTGAAGCATCTAGGCCCCCGGTGTTAATTTTGGTAATTAATGACAAGCGCTAATTATGGACTAACCGTTGTCTTTGAGCTATACTTTTAAGTTAGGTCCATGTCATATGTGCGCATGGATGATTGTCGATGGATTAAAATTGACGGCGCAAAGCAAAGAGAAAGAAGACGGTAAAACTAGTGCTTTAATTTAGAATTGATCGAGGTATAGGGCGATCAAAATTGCTAATTTATTTTCTAGTTTCGTCGTACTATTAAGAGGGGTAATGACCTAGCAAAGAGATGATTGAATTGCCATATTAGGTCATTGCATTTTCATTTGTGCTCTCTTTTTCATTACACATATATTCACTTGCAAATTCACTGGGTTCGGCCTGACCAGGGACGGCGTGCCATGGCCGGTCTGACCGGCCGCAAGACGGCGGTCTGACCGTCGCATAGGGCCGGTCTGACCGGCGGCACATGAGCGGTCAGACCGCCCCCCTAGAGGCCGAGATGATGTTGCTCGGGATGGCCGATATAGAGCCGACGGAGCTGTAGTCGGTCAGACCGAGCCGATGGCAGTCTGAACGAGCCGAGGCCGGTCTGACCGCCTACTCTATGCCGGTCTGACCGGCCAGGCCGATGGGGCCCTCTGACAGCACTTCAACGGCTAGTTTTCTAGCCGTTGCAGAGTAGCACGGTCTGACCGGCCACATACCTCCGGTCAGACCAGCAGAGCACAAAGTTGGGGGATTTCGCCCCCAACGGCTAGTTTTGGTGGGTGGGAGTATAAATACTCCCCCACCAGCAGCAAGGGGGCTCTCTTGGCACCCAATTCAATTGCATACACCCCTTGCACCTCTCTCACACTCACTTGAGCTTTGTGTTCATCCATCTAATGTGTTAGAGGGTTGATTAGCCAAGAGTCAAGTACATTTTCTTCCATTGTAGAGCTAGTGTGGCACTTGATCATCTCCACGCCAGATCATTGCTTGTTACTCTTGGCATGTGTTTGGTTGGGAGGATATCCCGGGATGGGATGGGATCATCCCATTTTTATGGCTGTTTGGTTGAGGGACTAGGAGGGATAGGATGGTTCCAAAAGAGAATATTCCTTCAATATTCGGGACAACCCCATCCGGAAAAAAGTGGTGGACGAAACGATCCCACCTCGCACCTGTGACTCGCGACACGCGCGCGGTAAGAGCAGAAGCGCTTCACCTCTCTTTTTTTCCCCTTCTTCTTATCTCTTCTCTGTCTATTCCTTCCTAGGGTTTGCAAGGGTGGCGGCGGCGCGTGCTTGGCCTGGGTGAGCCGGCGCACAGGGGCAAGGCGGCGGCGGGTCGCGGCTGTGGCGGCGCGTCGCGGCTGTGGCGGCGCGGGCGTGGGCTGCGGAGGCGCGCGCGGCTGCAGCGGCGCTAGCGGGAGCTCGAGCCGGCGCGCGAGCAGGGGCTGCGGTTAGGCGGCGCGGGTCGGACTGCGGTGAGGCGGCGCGGCGCGCGGCTGCAGCAGCGCCGCGGGCGTGGGCTGCGGAGGCGCGCGCGGCTGCAGCGGCGCTCGCGCGAGCAGGGGCACGGCGACGCTCTCGGGAGCTCAAGCCGGCGCGCGAGCAGGACACGGCGGCGCTGGACCTCATCACCTTCGATTCGAAGTGTTCGTAGCCACCAACTGCAGATCGGGGTTCCCAATCTCCACGGTAAAAAGACCCTAAACCTTGGATGAGGATTTCGTTTTCAGATCTGTGCATATCTGTTTTTGTTGAAGAATGTGTGAAATCCCTTTATCAATTGCTTGACAGTAGATGTTGTCCATGTGTTTTTTGTTGTTGTATTGTAGATGGACAAGAGGACCAAGCTTTTAGTTTGTATTGCAGCTACAAATTTATTGTTGTCGATGATGGCCATGATTATTAGGTCTAGAAAAAGAAAGAGGTGTTCAAGGAGAGAAGGTATTAGATATGGCCCAATGGTTGAAAGGGATAGAAAAAGAATTGAGTACCTAGAAACGAAAATTTGGTGGAACGATACAACTTGTATCAACATGCTTAGACTTAGAAGGGCAAGTTTCTTTCGTTTTTGTAAGCTTTTTAGGGATCGTGGTTTACTTGAAGATACCATTCACATGTGTATTGAGGAACAAGTGGCTATGTTTTTGCATACAGTGGGGCATAACCTTAGAAATAGATTAGTTCGTACTAATTTTGATAGGTCTAGAGAAACAGTTAGCCGTTATTTCAACAAAGTCCTTCATGCAATCGGTGAGCTACGAGATGAACTAATCAGGCCCCCCTCATTGGACACTCCAACTAAAATAGCAGGAAACCCTAGATGGGATCCTTACTTTAAGGTCTGAGATTCATCCCTATCTAAATTTATCTTTATGTGAACATTGATATATGGTCCCTAATTTTTAATGTTGTTGAACACAAAATAGGATTGTATTGGAGCTATTGATGGCACACATATTAGAGCCTCGGTTCGTAAGAATGTGGAGTCTTCTTTTCGTGGTAGGAAGTCCCATGCCACTCAAAATGTAATGGCAGCCGTAGATTTTGATCTTCGGTTTACTTATGTCTTGGCTGGTTGGGAGGGGACAGCACATGATGCTGTAGTTTTAAGAGATGCTTTGGAACGTGAAAATGGCCTCCGTGTCCCACAAGGTAATAGATTACAAGGTAATAGTTTATCAAATTATCCATGACAAATGTTGATATTTAGGAATGTGACCAACTTGTCGATCATATAATAGGCAAATACTATCTAGTTGATGCTGGATATGGAGCCAAACAAGGATTCTTGCCTCCTTTTCGTGCTGTTCGGTACCATCTAAATGAATGGGGGAATAATCCGGTACAAAATGAGAAGGAGTTGTTCAACCTTAGACACTCATCCCTCCGTGTGACGGTTGAACGTGCATTTGGGTCACTAAAGAGGAGGTTCAAAGTGCTTGATGATGCCACTCCATTCTTCCCATTTCAAACTCAAGTAGATATTGTTGTAGCTTGTTGTATTATTCATAATTGGGTCGTAAATGACGGAATTGATGAGCTTATAGCTCCGCCTGATTGGTCAAGTGAGGACATTGATGAATCGTTAACCGGCCAAGCAAATGACCATGCATTGATGGTTCAGTTCAGGCAGGGCTTAGCTGATCAGATGTGGGCTGACCGTAATAGCCATCATGGAATGTAATATGTAGCTGGGCTACTTGTATTTCTACCTTATTTACAATATTTCATTAGTCAATGAACATTTTTATGTATTTCATTTGTATGGACAGCTTGTTGTAGTCCATTTGCTAAATTGCATTTGTATGGATAAATCTATTGTTGTATGCTGAATTATGGTTTGATGAATGCTGAGTTGGTTGACATATTGTTGAATGGTCATTTCATTGGTTGATAGTTGAATGCTGAATTTTTTTGGGTTGATTTATTGCTGAATGGTGAATTTCTGGGTTAACATATTGCTGAATGGACAATTTCTGTTTACTATATTGCTGAATGGACAATTTCTGTTTACTATATTGGTGAATGGTCAATTTCTGTTTACTATATTGCTGAATGGACACTTTCTAGGTTTACATATTGCTAAATGGATATTTTCTGGTTCATTTGACAGCAGGTAGAAAATGGACAACAATAGTGGCAAGGGAGGAAGCACCCATGCTTCATGGACCTCAGCTATGTCATCTTTCATGCTCAAACACCTTGCCAATCTTGTGGCCGGAGGCACAAGGATCTCATCTGGCTTCAAGGCAGTGCATCTCAATGCATGTGCTAGGGCTGTGAATGAAAGGTTTAACATCACTCTCACGGGTGAGCAAATTAAGAATCATTTGAAGACATGGCAAGAAAGTTTACAAAGATAAATAGGCCAGGGAAAGTTAGTGCCGCTGGTTGCCACGAGAAAAATTTCATCATTACTCTTGATGATGAGCACTACAATGGCTATATTGAGGTAAATGTCTTGACCTAGTGCTTTATTCCATTCATTTGTTTTATTGCATTTACTTAAAAAAAATTTTTGTTTCACCGAAGGATCACAAGGCTGATGCTGATTATTTTAACAAACCTCTTGCACACTATGGTGAGATGCTTACAATATTTGGTAGCACCATGGCTACGGGAAAGTATGCAAAGGACTCAAGTTCAGTCCTAGGAACAGAGGATGTCCAAACTGAAAATGATGAAGAGGAAAATGATGGCCCTGCCACTACTGATGATCGTGCGGAGGTATCATCTGCAAGCAAGCCAAAGAAAGCCAGAACACAAGAAATTGAAGATGATGGGCTGATTGGTGCATTCACCAGTGTTGGTGACAAGTTAGCTTCTGCTATACTAAAGGTCGCTGAGCCAGACAATAAACTGCCAGATGGTTTATTTCAAACCTTGGAAAAGCCTTCCTGGGTTTGAGGAGATCCATGTATCTGTTTACTATGCTCATTTGGTTGCCAACCCTCACATTGCGTAGAGCTTTTGATGGACTTCCTTTCGAAAACAAGATTACATGGGGTCCACTTGTTCATTAATAGAGAAGGTTTCCTTGGACCAATGTAGCGTTGTTAGATGAGTTGGGTAGTTCTTTTGGTATTATGTGTTGCCGGGGGCCCATGATCATGTATGACTTTGTACTGCCAATATGTTTAAGGCCGAGAATTCTTAGGTGCAAGACTTAAATTTGCTATTATGTGTAAGACCTTAATTTGCTATTATGTGCACGACTTGAAACTTCTTATTATGTTTGGCTTGGACTCTATGTATGGGTTGAAATGGGATCAGATGTGAGCTAATTATGTGTGATTGTTTTTTGAGGGGTTGATTATGGAACTGCTAGTATTGTTCATTATTGGGTAGCTTGTCATTATTCTGTAGCTTGTCCAATATGCTGAAATGAAGTTGCTGGAGCTTATTTTCAAAAATAGTGATATGGAGGGTATTTTAATTTTTTATATAGTGTGGTCATCATGTAGAAATATTATTTTGTAGTTTGTAGACTATGAGAGGTAACCTCACCAACTAATGTGTGGAGGTAATTGTATCCAAGCATCCCATGTTCATCCCTCCATCCAAACAAAAGATAGGATCATTCCAACCCATCATATCCCTCAAACCAAACTAAAAACAGGGTTCGTTCTATCCCTTCAACCAAACAAAAAAACAGAACCATCCCATTCCAAAAAACAGGGATGGAACCAACCCATCCCATCCCATCCCCAAACCAAACACATGCTTGGAGGTTATCGCCTCCTAGACGGTTTGTAGAGAAGTTGCCCGGTGATCTCTCCGAGAAGATTGTGGAGGAGGCCCGGTGCCCGTTTGTGAGTGGTTTGGAGTTCACCACCTTCGGAGTGAAGGAAGAACTACCCTAGTGATCGAGGCTTGGGTAGTCCTCTCCGTGGGCCGGCTCCCGCCTTGCCCACCCCTTGACGAAGGGAGCGTGCGGTGGCTTCGTGGTTGAGCGGTGGAGTTGGGCTCGCCTCAACGGGGAGTAGGAAACCGGCGAGTTTCCGAACCTCGGTGAAAAATCTCTTGTCTCCTTCTCTCATTTGATTGTCGCATTTACATTTGTGCAATTTACTTTTCTAGAGACAAACTTGAGATCATATCACTCTAGGATTGCTAAACATTGACATAGGAGTGATTTACTTTCCTAGAGATATAATTGAGCCACTATCACCCTAAGTTTGCAAAACATAACTTAGTTGCTTAGTTAGAGTTGATCCTCACCAAGCGTAGCAACTTAGGTTAGTTTTGATTAGGTGTCATTTAGTTTTAAATCGCCTATTCACTCCTCTCTAATCGATATCTCGATCCTACATCACTGTCAGCGGTCAGAGTTCATCCGAATCACCGGAGCTAGTGAAAGAGTCTTAGCACGAATTAATCATGAAGCACATCCCGTGATAAAAAAGTAATTGCAATACTTAAGGAGCTAGTGAAGGAGTTTTATCACGAATCATGAAGCACATCCCGTCGAATACAAAATGGTGATTTTCGCAGATATTTAATTTTCATGCATGCGGCTCACCCAACCGCGCATGCGAAGATCGTCTTCCTTCGTCTGGAAAACCGATTCTGTATCAGTGTTTAGGCCTATATTTTTTTATATTGTTATTTAGCAGTTCCATATAATTATTCGGACGATCTGCATGCATGGTTATCTGCAGAAAACCCATTGATTGCGTCAATGCACGTGGTTTCAAACGACACGTGCTGATCTCCATGCATGGTCCAAAACCCCTCTTTGGTATAAACGCATGTGGTGTGAGCTCAATAGTTACGGGCGTCTGCATAGTGCACAGAGCCACAGACGATCGAGAACGGTAACGAAATCACGATATCACGCATGCCGGCCTTCGATAACATTCTCCCCATGGCTAAACATCAACGACGTGTCCTGCTTCGTTGGTGACTGGTGAGACAGTTGAAATGCAGAACCAGATTTCAACACCCAGGTTACAGAAATTTCTAAGGCTATTGACTAATCCCGTGCATGATTTCAACGATTAGCTACGACGTGGGTGGGAGATACAGGATTGCACGGCACTACACTGTTTTTTAGTGCTTCCGTAGTACATATTAGTCATTTAGTCTAGGTTATAATTATCGCCGGAACATCGAGTGCTCACGTCCATCTCAGCAAAAGGGAAGAAAGATTAGTTAGACCTCGTAGTCAAAATTAAAGGAGGAAAAGATTTGTTTTGCGTACCAAATTTCATTCTTTTTCATTAAAGCCGATAGACAAGATTCCATAAAAGCCATGCAGTACTGTTGCGAGTGGATCCTTTTTGTGAGACATGTGATTGCTTATTTGCTTACCACAAAACAACTGAGATATCATGGGGTTCAAATCTGTACCGTTCTGCCCAACCCAAATAATCTATCGATCGTTATTACGTACTGACGTAGCACTCCAAAATCAAAGATGACGTTAGGTAGCTTCAGCTTGAGTCGTTATCAGGAATCAATGTATGTTTCCACTATTGTATAGCACAATAGCTACTCCCTACTGTTTCTTAATGAGAATGTACAATCCACTTCAAAGTGTGAGAACATTTTCTCCTGAAGTAGTTAAGTAACCTACCCAATGTTATTTTTGAAGGACATTTCCTACTACCAAAGTACGTATAATTAAAAGTTTTTAAACGTCATAGGTCAACGGATGTTCACGAAAAAACAACGTTCGTTCACAATCCACATGAGAGTACCCGGACAAAAACTTAGTTGTACAACTACCATACCTATTTCCTGATGGTTGGTGAGTGATGACCAAGGGCTGGCACAGGTCTCGCACGGTTAGTTAATGCAGTGTTTGACAAAATAATAATAATAATCTGAAGCATTCCAACCTTAAAAGAAAAATAAACGTGTGGTATGGTAACCAAAGCCATTTGTCAGGTGTAGACTTGTCAAAAGGAGCCAGCTTGAAATTTTCCTGAGGCAATGAGCAGCGCATGCTGCATCAGTTCGGTCGGTGAACTGAAAGAAACAACGGGTCACTTGCGCGGCAGAAAGCAAGCATGAAAGAAGCAAGCGAAATAAAGACGAGGAAGTGGAAGGAGATATGATGGAAATGGTCCCTCTTTTTTTACAAATAAAAGGCACATTTCCACGGATTTTGTTTCACTCATGTGGTGTACACCCAAAGAACGACCGTCCTCTGCTGCGTTGTACGAGAGGTAGACACACTGATGCTGCCTGCTTCTGCGAGGCGATGAACGGCAGAGGATGAGAAGAACAACTGAACAAGGAAATCTCTGCGGACAAGATCTGGTCTCTCACGATGTACCTGCACTTGCAGTCTCTCATGGCGTTTGTCGAGGAAGATCTCGCATGAGCTACCTCCTGCACCGGGTAACCAAACGCATCTCTCGTTTACTTCAAAAAGGAAACTAAAGAAGAAAAAGAAAGAAAAGGAATCAAGCGTCGTGACACGGACGCCGCACTTCCTCGACCAATGGCTTCTCCATCTCTCTTTTTTCGCTCCTTTTTTTTTCTTAACGAGTTACAGGGCACGCTAGTAGTTAGTGCCGATCGACATCGCGAATACACCAAGAATGGACCGTAGAATTGCAGAAATATACTCTCGGCCGTCGACATCCTGCGATTCCTGCCGTGAAAGGGACGCAGTGTGCGATTGGGTTGGGTGTACCTAGGCAAAAGAAGGATATATAGCACATGACAGAGGGCTCAGTCGTGCTGGAGGAAACGGCGCAATCGCACAGCGACCACACCACGACAACCGGGGATTCCAGCAGCTTCACGGGCGTTGGACTCGTCAGGCGCCGCACGGCGGCGCGCTCTGCGGGTGGCGACGACGACTTCGCTTCCAGCATAAGCACGGTGTGTCACACCTCACACGACAGACGAGACGAGACGAG